CATCTCTCTCTCATCTCACCTCTGACTTTTTTTCTCTTTCTCTCCGAGGTCTTTGGCCCAACGAAATCACCGTATACATTCCAGGGTGCTCCGGCTCGGTATGATTAAACGAGCATACTTGACCTGAGATACTTGGATGGATCAGGCGCGTTCTTGGTATAAACATGGAAAACCCATGAACGGTATTCTCGATATACTCTTTGTGTATACCGTGCCAAAGAAAGTGACAGATCACTTAGCATGGCGAATCCGAGACTTTGTCGAATATAGCGCTAGCGTACGTCGAGTTTAGACGAGACTGCGGAGGGAAGAGATAGAGTTACGATATGAAATAGAAATTCTGATATATTCTGAATAGAGATGTCTATCGAGATTAAACGTCCAATTGAGATTTGCGTTCTATTTTGATCGCGTAATTAATTAGTTATAGCAGACACGCGAATTGATTAGTAGTAGCAAGTAGTTGACGATTATGTACATTATGTACAATCAGACTACGGACTGTAGCCTGTTTTTGTACTCTAAAACTGGCACAAACGGGCCGTTATAGTTTTTCTACGATTGTTTACTTTCTTTTGCCGGCTTGTCCGGTCGACGGACGTTTCGTGGCTAGTGAAAATCAACCGTAAAATTGTTTGTGGTCCCGGCGCTCGCGCTACCAGGTTAGTCGGTCAGACTCGCTCGCCCAAAAAGTACTACTTGCCCTACTCATCCTTCCACGTAAAAAATATGTGTGCTGGCGGAAGTGACGCGTTAGTTAGTCACCGGCATGAAAGAAAGTTGACGGCGTCTTTATGTAGCTGGCGGAATTTCAAGCGGTATGCCAGGCCCATATATACACGGGAGCTCGCGTAAGCGTGTGTGCGTGCCTGCACGCCCACGCGATTGTGCGCGAAGAATTTCACTCGCGGCATAGCTCATTGTAGGAAAGTGCTTTATCTGATCGCGACAAACGTCACTCGGATACGGAAGTGTATCTCGCGTGATAGCAGGAAGAAGAGTCACCTAGTCGCCGAAAGCGATTCGTATCGCCGTATTGTCATACAATATGATTGCGTTATTACAGCTGTATAGAAAAAACATTGTAAAATTAGGTTTATATAAGAAGAGTTTGAATGTGATGTGTCTTGCATGTATATATATGTATGTATGTACGTATATTTTAACTGGAAACATAAGATATAAAAAATAATGACGGGTCATCTCGCGAATTCCTGCCGAACGATCACGCAAAAAATCGACATGGGGAATCGGGGGATGACGGGAACGGAAAAATCACCGTAAGTCACGCGGCTCGATGACCGTGGCTGACCCACTTCTAACAGAAAACTGACCAGTCCGCCCACGTTCCGTTCGAACACGAATTCAAGGTAGGTTCAATGCCGCTGCACGACGGAGACAAGCGAGCGCTTACGCACACGCGTAGACTCGGGCCTCGCTGTGCCGGTTACTGGTATTTGTGTACCGATCCGTTACTCAGCTGACATACGAGGAAAATGCAACGAGCGTGAAAGAGCGGGGACGAGCAGAGATATGTCGCCGGTCTGCAGGAATCGACTTTAAGATTCCTGTCACAACTAGATCGTCGTTTTATGTTGTAAAAATGCGCATTGCGATATGCAGAAAAACTGCTAGAAAAAGATAGATGCTAGAAAAACTGGGAGAAATGTTAATAGAAAATAATTTGCTTACGTTATGAAGAATTTCTAAATAACGAGTATAAGGAATATTTTTTTACAAAATCGATTTTTAAATCGATAAATATTGTTGCTTGCAATACTTATCGAGATTTTCGAAAATATGCAACTCAAGGATATGAACGTCGCATAAATTCATATCTCAAAATGTGCATATTGCCGGCAATATATACATAGATCAGCAACAAGCGGTGTCTTAATATCATCGGTCATAAGTAGCATAATTTTGAAAGAACACGACGGTCGGTTAATTCGGTTACGTTCGCGATTATATCTAATTAAAACTACTTATAATCGGAGGTCGATACGCCGAAGGCACCACGCAATTTCCGTAAGACCACGTAACGGCAATTTAATCAACGATCGAATTACGATCATTAAACACCGTGCATTACAGTGAAACTCTCCGAACTGCGCCGATGCTATCTGGAAGAAAACTATTGATACTCTTCCCGCGAATAATAGAGCGATCTAAAGTACTTACTTCCCGGTTGAAATTGAGGAACATAGATCGGGCTGGCGATAACAATGGTGTAGATCAACACGTTGCCGATGATAACGGCGGCCCAGGCCTGTTTCCGCCGGTCGCACATCTGAAACATAGACGAAAAACCGGAAGAAATTAAAATTTTACTCTCTAGAAAAGCTAATCTTCTTCTTCTGAGATACATATTATCGCTATTTGTACCTCTTTTTCGTGCCGTCGCGATTATTACTCTCTTTCGCGAAATAGAAAAACAAGCGAAGAAAAACAAAGTACTGCAAGATTACAATTTCCCTCAATGATCTTTAACTTTCACGAATATAATAGTAATTATTGAATCACCCTCTAAAACTTGCAAAGTAGACCGTTTATAATTTGCAATATGCAGACAATGCTAATGTTGACCGTGACATTCGCGGCGCGATGATAAATCTGGGAAGATTCTCACGAAGAACTGGACGGGGTGACTAGTCCGTTTGGACGTAATTACATGATGTAATTGCATTTGATTATAGCGAGACGTCAGTGTGCTCGACAACGCTTTAACGCTTATTCTTAACGGCGCGGACTCGTAGGCGGCTTTTGTTTCAATTCGCCACCGGATGCTACTGTTAGCCACTTTCGACCGGCGTGTCACTTACGTATCTCTTATAATTACGGCGATAATTTCGGTGGGAATTAATGTCAGAGTGAAACACTCGACAAATTGTCGTTCGTTACATCGAAAAGGAGAAGGGGAATGCAACTCATTTATCTTTTACAACAAACAGAATGTACAAACGGAAGTACGTTCAATTGCAGGTGCATATCGCAGGCACCAAGCCAAGTGTAAAATATACTTCCATGATGCAGAACTAAATACGAACGTTATATAACTAATTGTGATTAATTGATGATTAAACACGATTTCCTTCGTAACGGCACATTCGCGTTCTGTTACTATCAGAGTTGTAAAAACTGTTAACGAATAAATAATAATCCGATAAGACGGAACCAATTGCTCAACGCGCATGAAATTATATTTGGATTTAATTAGTTTATTAGTTTATTCTTATTTATCCGTGTAAAATATTTGAAATGTGAGCGAGTACATGTGTCAACCATATGACTCTCCGAAAATTGATTGAATTGAAGATAGATATATAATTATTTCACGAAGCACAACGTAATTGTTTGATTTTTTCATAATTAGATAGGATTTGTTTGATCGTTGAAAATCCAAACGGAGAAAAAGAAATTTGAACGGAATTTGAACTGATTGTGAGCTGCACTATAAAGTCTAATAATAATAATTTCAACGTTGCGCGAGACAGTAGTCGCATTTTGCACAATTCGGGCATGATGTGAGACGTCGGCTCGGTCAACGACCGGCTTACGAAAAACGTTCACTTCACGAATACATCGACAAGCGTGAAGAAGAGGAGGAAGAAGAAATCCTTCCAATTCATCGACAAGAGTATTCTTCAATTGATTCGTTTCTGGATCACGAGATCGATATCGAGATTTCGTTTTCGATCTCTAGATCCCGATTCCTCGGACTTCGGCATCTTTCTCTTCTTAGCCGTCATCTCGAGATATTAATCATTCAGTCAGGCGATGTGGTTTATTCGATAAACGTAGCATGCAATCGGCGAGAACCGGGTTACAGTTATTCGGAGGCAGGAATTTGGATGTAACGTTATACTTCGCCGAGCTCACGAATCACGTAACAGTGAGCGGCGATCATCTGTCGATGATCAAGTCAATCCGCGCATGTGCTCTTTACGTTGAAATCGATTGACCGCGTCATTTACAGCCGATTATTATTACGAATAATTATGAATTTATTTATTAATCTTAATTAAATTTGCTAAAAAATTACCGTTATCTTCATAATATCATTTATTTGTGTATTTTTAAACGTACAAAGAAATTTTTTATATTGTTTTTATAAAAATTTTATATTGTTCTTCGAGAAATAATTTTGACGTATATTTTTATATTTTATAATTTATATTTATAATTTATTATATATTTATATTTATATATTTTTATAATTCAATACTTTCGCTATACGTACATAAAATCTAATAATATAAATAATTTTATAGAATATATATTTTATTTTTATTGTGTAAAGTTAAGGAATTAATTACACATCGCGATAGCATCGCGATGTATCGAGGGTCAGATATTTCTACAGAATCTTTAGTCTAGCCAGCGTGGAAGAAATGCAATGATTTCATCCAGTGCGCAGTTCGCCACGTCTCTTGAGGAAATGATAAAAACCGTTACAGTTATCTACAGGTAGGAATTCGGATGGATAAAGTAACAACAAATCAATGTCGATGTGAGTTATGTCGACTTGTTAGGTCACCGGTTTTATCACTCGGTTTCTAAAATGTTCGACAACGGTTGTATCTTGTGGTTGATGCATTTCTAATTAGTAGAAATGTGTTCTTTCTTCGTTCAAAGTCCGAGCACATGACACTCGTGCTAATTGACTAGATTGAAGCGTACGTAATTCGACAAAGTGCCAAATGGGTTTCAATTGATTCGTTGAGTATGTTTGATTGTTAAATGTGTGCGGACTCTCTCTTTGTAAATTAAATAATTTAAGAATATCGCTTTGTCGTAAACGCACAATATGCATCATGTTTTACAGAACGAGCGGACGATTATTTCGAAAAATAGACTCAAATAATTTTTAGACTTTAATAATTTCTGCAATTTTATAGCAAAATTGATAATATAATGCGAAATAACATTATTGTCTATCCTTTTGGTTCCCATTCTTTTACCCATTCTCAGTTTTTAAGACGCATCGCGTCGCATGAGTTTAAGCATTCTAGTCTCGCATCCGCGTGTTGATTACTCTTTTAGATATTCATGGAATTGATGCTCTCCTTTGCGCGAGAAAAAAATTGCACATCCGCCGACAATCCGCGTGTGTTAATTGGCGGACGAAAGCGACGAGAACGCACGTGCGTACAGTGCATGGCGCGTATACGCGAGTAGAAAAAGCTTTTGTCGTAACGTAGCACTCGCGCATGTAACGGTACCTGCCACTTTCATTTGTACTCACGTATCTAATGCGAGGCACACATGTGGGTTGGCGCCGAGATATACACTACGCGCAAATAAAACCGTAAGTCTCAATCCTGTACGCTCTCTTGCGAGCCGCGATCCGCATTAAATAATTTCTTTCCAACGGATAATATATTTACGACCATATCAGATGTGGTAGCGTTGCACGCAAAACCAGAAAGTTCAAATGACGCCGGTATCCTTCGGCTACCATCCGTGAAAATTATTCAAGAACATTACGAAACCATTTGACTGTGCTTATAAAGTCCGCTATCCGAATCTTAATCACGAGATTTCACTTAGGACAATTAATAAAAAAAAAAAAGGTTACTTACACATTCAACCTTTAAACCGCTCCACGTATTGGCTCTTAACGGACTTGTGTTACATGTATTGTAGATATTCTGAGAAAAGCACTAACGTCCGTTACATATCAGCGATAATTCATATCGTCCTGAGGAAGCATTTAACGATTATTTCGTCGAAACAAACAGATTGACTCGAGGAATACCAGAATTTTCTCAGGTAAACCCTCGTGAATTATGCATGAAGCTGCGTAAAATCGAGGCAGACATTAGTTTACACATATACGCGCGCACACGCGCGTGTCCCGGCCACATGCGAATGAAATTCAGCTGAAACGAGCTAATATACCGCTATCCTAAGGAACATGCGGCTAACTTCGACAACGGATTTGCAATATGTCCCGCTCGTCGATACATGCCGCAGCCGTATACACACATAAACCCCCGGATTGATTATTCGCGCAATAAACCGTGTTCATCAAGCGGATAATATTGGTATGTACTGAAGTGCAGCCACCGTAGTCCGTTGTTCATATGTTTAGCTTGGCTTAACCAAGTGTGGTTTGTGCGTCTCTCTACTTCCGTCTTTCTTTTATTTAATTTCGTATTAAAGGATATTTATTTATAGAAATCGACCGATCTGCAATGCAAGTTATTGAAACTTTAATTTTTCATAAAATTCATCGTGTTAGAGCAAAATAGAGCGAGTAAATATCTATGTACCTAAATAGAAACGTAAATGATTCGACATCTGTTGTAAATATTTCGCAAATATTTACATATCATATCTATTAGTGTATCATTTGTTTTGCCTTATATAAGTTCGTTGACTCGATTTGGAGCTGTCCACTTCGAAAAAATTAATTGATTGAATCAATAGGCTCTTTTAACTAGAGTCTGTTAAATTTTGCAAAATGTTATAAACATTTCATAAAAATATTCTTATATGTATTTTTTGTTTGGGAAGAATTTAAAGTCGTCGATCTATCAATAGTTATCGATCAATAATCATCCGACCGCAGAACCGATAAAAAGCATTGATCGCGCCGGTGCCGACTTGGAGGATCAAGGACGAGAGACCGCAGAGGGAATCACCTGTTCGACCAAGTTCAGTACCCACCGTGACTAGGAACCTCGCGGCGCGGCGCGGCGCAGGAATCGCGCCAGTCGCGCGTCAGATCAAATCGTTTAATTATCGTGAATTATCCACGAAGGTGCGTTGCCCCCTGACAAAAAACGATACCGCCGATCGTCGAGCGTTGTAATCTCAACGAAGGTCACTCACGCAAGAAAGTATGAGGCTTCTTCATATCTCGGGACCTTGAGACAGAGCCATAAACATACCTTGACTGACACCGCTCTACAGACCGCTGCTGTTGCTTCTGCTTCTGCTGCAACGTTGCTGCAAAATTCCTTCAAGTTGTCAGACCGCGCGGCGATGCATCATCTCCCCTTGATGATGTGATCTTCGAATTCAGTTCTCGCGCCACGTTCCACGAGATCACCTGGACCACCTGACGTGTCAGTCAGACCCAGATCTCGCACCCTCGATCGCGGATCTCCGATTAACAGCTGCGGCCACGTGGTCGAGGCCTGTCGAGTGGTGTCTCCCGCGCCCGGCGCCTCCCCGTCTCATCTGTGAACCTTGCGACCTTCACGAGCTTTGGAGAACGCCCTTCGACCGACCGTGGGACATCCACTCGGCAGACACGAGATATCATACGTCGCGGTGCGAGACAGTCAGATTCGCGAGAGGGGCCCGAGGATGGGAGGAGGAGGAGGATACCTCTCGGAGTATACTCGGACTGGCAGTTGCCCGACTCCGACCTGCTCGCCACGGCTGGCACCTATCGAACTGGTTTTGCTCGGTTCACGACTTCTGGATCAACCGATCCCCCGATCCCAGGTGTGCTCGCTCGCGGGCTCGCTCCCCCTGCACGAAGAATCGGCAGGCCACGACGACACGCATCGGCCGAGCGCGCGCGCTCGGTCGCGTCCTCGTGAGAGAGAGAAGTTAGCCCCCCCACAGGTAGAAGGTAAAGCCGAGTAGGTACAAACGGCGGCAAGCTAAACTGCGGGACAGCCGCGGACGGTAGACCGTGTCGGGGCTGGCGCTTGTCGTGCCGACGGGGACTCTAGCGTTCGGGCACCTCTCGAGGTGAGGTGGTGGCAATGACCGTTCTCTCCCGCGTTCTTCTTCGTCTCCCTCGCGCGCCTGGAACGTCCCGACCTGCTCCTCCTTCTTCTCGGCCTCTCTTCTACCTGTTGCGGAGGTTTCCCTCTTCTGCCGCCAGCATTACCACCACCACCACCACCACCACCACCACCACCACAACCACCACCTAGACTTGAGCATCATCACTGTAGTTAGCTTGCTCTCCTGCTCGTGTGTTGTTCCCTTACCCTTGGTTCTCCCGTCTTCCCCACTACGACCTCGTTGTCGTCGTTCGGCGGCGGATGATTGCTCGTACTTCGTCGATTTGTGTCTCTTTTACGTTAATTCTTTCGTTTTTTCCTCATTTTTTTACTTTCCTTTCTTGATTGCTCCTCGGATTTGTTTATTAGGATATTTATTAGGAGATAGCGATATTTTCCTGTGATTACGATTTGATAACGAAAATGAGCGCTGGTGATTCTTTCGTGTAATAAAACATAATAATTGGAATAAAAAAATTTTCTTATCAAATGTTTTCTGTTTGGCCAAAACTCAGGTTTTCTCTCAACTTTTTCCAGATTTTTAGATTTATTATATGCTTTTGGTTCTATTCCTTTCGCTCATTTTCTTAATGATATTTGTTAATCAAGATATTCTGTGTGTGAGTATAATAAAAAAAATAAAAAAGACTTGATTTTTTCTCTTATAAATATAATATAATCATTTAAATTATTGTTACATAATAATAGATTATATATATCGCAAAAGTGAATACTAAATACAAATTAAATATTCGGAATTTAAAATGATACGTAACATTAACTGTACCTTATATCAACAATTTTCTATTAATTTTTCTAAATAACACATGGCAAGATAACTTCATAAATAAATATACATTATAGCCGATATTTAGAGTCCGTTTTTATTTCAAGACCGCCTTAAATAATGTCTTAAGATGCTAACTACGGCTTTGTGATATTATAAGACCGTCTTAAGACTATACTTAAGACGTTCTTAAATATAAAAATCGACTTAAATATGAATTCCAGTCTATGTTCATTATGGTCTATTTATATTTCTCTGCGATTTACCTGCACCAGGTAAGTCTTTACCTGTAGAACCGCCACACGGTGTTTGCCATCATTGCGTTCGTTTGTTATCGTAATTGAAATTTAAAAAAAAATTGACAAAATTGAATTTCCGAAATAAAGTAATCATAATAATGCTTTAATAAGAAAAATGAGCTGATTAATAATATTACATTTTATTAAAATAAGAAATAATTGCAAAAAATTAATATTAGTGGGTTAAACAGCGTATTTTTCGTATTAAAAAAATGTTGAAGCGGCCGTTTTATAATTTAACTTCGCGTTAACTTTGTATAATTATGGGTGCCCTCGTTTAACGTTATTTTCCATGTATCGTTCTATTCCATTTTGCATCATTCAGTTCTCAGATTTCTTGATTCTCCCAAGTGATATCAGTAACATTTTCTATTAGCAAAGGGTGGGATAAATGGTGGGGCTGGCTCTCGAGGATTGGCTGCGAATTACAGTCGAGGGGATGCATCGGAGGGTGCTTTCGTAGGTATATATACGCCTGTCGGCGGCACATCGGCCGATTCGAACTACTGAAACGTTCGCCGATCTATCGAGCAGACACCAAGGATATCGTGAGGGTGAGAAAGAAATTGTAAGGTGTCAGTGACTTGAGTTTAGTCTTTCTACGAGTGTGATATTTGTCCTTAATCGCTCGATTTATTATTCAATCTACTATATAAATTGTTAAGAAGATTTGTTTGCCAATCGGTGAGTTCTGATTATAGATTTTTCAATTTCAGCGATTGTTAAACTTATTGAAGTAATTTTTATAAAGTATTTTTTTATATCAGTTTTGATTATTTATAAAATTGATACTCTTAATAAATTTTATTATAAAAGTTTTAAATATATTCTGTTAGAATTATAATTCTTGTCTATGTATCAATGAAATTTAATAACAATAGTTTATCTCAAAAAGAAATAAATATTTTTTGATAATTATTGAAATAAAAAGCTAAAATATTTTTTATCAAATAACGTCTTCGTTTTTAGAGCTTTCAGATGACAAAAAAAGAACAAAATATTAAATTTTTAAATATCAGTCTTTAGATTATTTGAAATCTAAAACAAAGTAAAAAATCTTAAATAATTTTAGAATGGTATGTCGTGCATTGATACCTGATATATGAAAATAATAAAATTTAGCGGAAAATACAAAATAAAAATTAGATATAATATATTTTTGTTCTGAAACATAGCCAGGATTTTTTCAAAGAAAAATTTTGACAAAAATTTATCACAGAAATCACAAGAACATTCCAGAGAGTTAGGGATATATGGAATGCAGGAGATCAATAGGATCTAGAGGGTCACAAAAAATTTTGAGACTTTATTTGTTAAAATAGGAAATGGAAAGTCAGCTGGCAATTGAATAAAATCAGTAATATCGATTTTAGAAAAAACCAAAATTGCGCAAGTTAATTTAAATTACCAGTTAAAGGTTAATACAGTAAAGGTATTGATTATGTAAAAATTAGCATTTTTCAAAATTTTTTATTTAACTATTCTTTAAAATTATACATTTTTATGTTAAAAAATCTGTCACACGATATGTATTTGTCCTAAACCAAAGAATGTACTAGGAAAATTAAATTTGGGTTAAATTACGAAAATATGATCCACAATATGAATTTTACGTATATATTGTATGTACTGAACTAACTAACATGATTGGATATCCAGACAATCTTTCATAAAACACAAGGGTTTCGTCGCGAATGAATGGCGCCGTGAGTAGAAACACATTTTATCGCGCGATAATCAGTCAACGTGCATGTCGAACATGCTATCAAAACAAAGAACATGCCTGAAAATTAAATTCGGTGATTGATTCGATAGCTTCGTTATCGCCGTAATCGGTCGTAGTACACTCTGTACCTCATATATATATATGTATGTATATACATATATATATATATATGTATATATATAATCGTATGCATTAGAATGCGGCGCAATGAATTTTACATATTCACAATCAGCGAAATTACCTCGCGACTCCCCTTGTCATTTCGCGTTTCGTCCATGGCAGGTTTATCTCTTGACAAATTTATTCGGACGGTTTGCGCCTGCTTGTCGCTATTCGAGTCGATTTCATAAGCAAATTAAAATTAATACCCCATCCTTTACCATTCACAGCTTAAATAATTTTATTTTCTTTTGACGATTTATAATTAAAATGGCGACAGTTTAAAGCAGAAGAAATTTATGAAAAGAAAAAAGATAAAAAAACTGATATTATATTTTTATAGATTATTCTACATAAAAAAACTTATGATATCTTCATAGGTCTTATAAGTACGGATTGGCAATGTGCTATAGTTTCTGTATAAGAAGCAACTTCCTGAGAAGATTGGAGAGAGAAACGTACTTTTTAGTAGTTTCTCTTTCTCAAAGTGTCCGGAAATATACATTGCGCATGTCAGTGAAACATATGGCGCGTTGATCACGTGCTACGATACAATCTATGCGAGCATAATGAAAATGCTTACCAATCAGAATACATCCAATATATAATATAAGTCAACATGCGCGGAACGTACTTCCGGACACTTATAGAAAGAGAAGTACGGACATGACTTTACTTCTATTGCCAGTCCATACTTATAAGGCCCATGGATATCTTATAGCTAGTGTAACACTCTGCATGGCATTTTTGAGGAATAAAACATATCTTAACATTTCTCAAAGAATTCTCCGACTGATGGAGAGAAATCGATGCTATGCATTAATTTTGCACGCTAATTATAATTGTCGAGAAATTTTATTGCGTCTTTCTTACGAAGCGACCACGTCGAAGCAAATTCGCAAGGAAGCTCGTGCTTGATCATCCCTAGTTTTTACGACTTTTATTACGCGTTAAGAAACTTTTATTTGTATTCTTTTATATGCGTCACATGTAAGATGAGAAATTTTGCCGCGGCGAGGAAAAAGAGAAACGATTCGTCGCTTTATCGTGAAATCACGTTCGCATGAATTTTGAAGATACGTTATCTTCCAGCTCATTCTTTTGCGTACAAGTATCTCCGTATCGTTGCAACAACCGAGACTACTACTTCAAATTGTTTGAAATTGAAATGCGGACACGGATGAATCTGGCTCGTTTCTTCTGTTGTTTGCTTGTCACCGTTATCGGAATGACGATTGCCTGTGCCGAGACGGAGCCCATGGCTAGATTAACTAGATTGCAGAAGACAATCAGCTCAGACATCCAGCTAAAGAGACTCGCTGATTTCGTTAGAAATTATTATGACACATTCGGAAAACCAAGGTAATTACGTTTTGAGCGTGAATATCTGTTTTCTCGTGACATAACTCAATGGATAATAAGATTGCTTCAAATGTAACTGTTAAATCGAACACGATATGTATATATGTATATATGCACGATAATAGTTACTTCACGAATATCTCAGATCAAAGCAAGTTTTATATGGAATAAATAACAGATAATTATTACATGCAATTATGAAAAAGGAATCCATACGCGGAACGCTAGTAGCTTCGATAAGTATAATTAGCTAATGTATAAAAGATTGTCTTGAAATATAAAAGGAGGAGCACAAAGATAGTCTTGGCTGCACATAATTGTACAAATAGAATTAATCATAACGCGGAATATTTAAGAATATTGACAATCACGCACAGACATGGCAAACGAAGTGATGCTGCGCCGATGATGGAGCTGAATGCCTCTTTCAAGACCCTGAAGATGATTCGGGATGCGCAGCGGCAAAACGAACAACCAAGGCAAGAGAACAGGCAGAACAAAGAGCAAATCCTGCTCCGCGACTTTCCGAGCTTGGACGCCGACGAGTATACGTTGTACGACGCTACACGATCTGGCTCTCGTCCGGATGTAATCGGCAAATATTACAACGATGTATAATAAACAATCCCCAAGCCGGTAATGTCCTCCTCCTTCTAACATCGAGATTAATTTCCTCTCGATATTGGAATAAATCGAAGTTCTCTATCGTTCCGCATAATCGCAATGCCTATTGATGTTAAATTCCGCTTTTTTCTCTTTGTAGTTTAATTGTTTGGATATCTCATGATACATAGATAAAAATAATATGATATATAGATAAAGAGAGTATATTGGAAAATGACGAGTTAGAATGCTTTTTAAAGCGTTACGGAGGTGTAATTTCTCGTTGAGATAAATGGAAATTTACATTGAAAAATCAATACCTGGAATAATGCTTGAAATAAATAAAATTATATAAAATTATATAATATAAATTGACGTATCACAATTGTAATCCTACTTAACTTTGCATAAATATAAATTTAACTTGTGCAAAAGTCTATTGTTAATAATATTTAAAATGTATAATAAAGATGAATTTGATTTAAACATCTACTTTCAGATGTAATTTAAACAAGAAATAATGGAGAATTATAACTCGCTAATTCATTATAATACAATAATTAGAAAATGAACGACAGCTTTCAGCAATTAACAAGTTATAATACAATGTGGCGGTACTGTTTGATGATAACGGTTCATTATTCTATAAATAAATAATTATTGACGAACAGTTATTTTTTATTTACAGAAAAACAGAATTTTCTCTCAGAATGTGCTGCATTTAATGCTATTATATTACTAAATACTAAATTATAGAAAAGTGAATAGCGACTTACAAGTAATTTGAAAATTTTTCAACAAAAAAAATTAAAATTAAAATTGAAGTATGGGTTCAATTAAAATGATTCTTCCGTTTTCGTCATCATGTTCCTCGCTCGGGGATACCACTGATTTATCATTATCAATCATTATTTTTGATCCAAGGTGACGTGATGTTTATTAAATAGGCGTATTCCACAAACGGCATCCTTCTTTTGTTTGCAAATTTTCTGGACAGAATCGAAATAGAGAGGTTCAGGACACGATTGAACCCATGCCACGCCGCCGCTGCACATACAGAATTTCTTGCAGTCGTCGTTCGGAAGTATCACTGCATACTCCGGGTCTTCTTCTGGACAAGTACCGATACAAGTAGATGGATCAAGATTATCATATGTTCCGCGCTTTTTGTTTCCATCAATCGGAGATTTCAATGAATTTTCATTGTCTACCGCCTTATCAATTGTGAAAATGTTATCTTGATTGAAGGAGCGTACTCCACAAACGGCATCCTTCTTCTGTTTGCAAATTTTCTGGACAGAATCAAAATAGAGAGGTTCAGGACACGATTGAACCCATGCCACGCCGCCGCTGCACATACAGAATTTCTTGCAGTCGTCGTTCGGAAGTATCACTGCATACTCCGGGTCTTCTTCTGGACAAGTACCGATACAAGTAGATGGATCAAGATTATCATATGTTCCGCGCTTTTTGTTTCCATCAATCGGAGATTTCAATGAATTTTCATTGTCTACCGCTTTATCAATTGTGAAAGTGTTATCTTGATTGAAGGAGCGTACTCCACAAACGGCATCCTTCTTCTGTTTGCAAATTTTCTGGACAGAATCAAAATAGAGAGGTTCAGGACACGATTGAACCCATGCCACGCCGCCGCTGCACATACAGAATTTCTTGCAGTCGTCATTCGGAAGTAACACTGCATACTCGGGATCTTCCTCGGGACAAGTACCGATACAAGTAGATGGATCAAGATTGTTGAGAGATTTATTGGTCAAGAAATATAATTTAGACCAAGTATTATCACGTTTTTTACGGGAGTGATATTTCTCTTTGTTCAGAGGTGTTATAAAATTATTTTTGATCGCTTTGAACGTAAAAGGTCGATTTTTATTGAATAGATTTAAATGGCAAATGGCACTCCTCTTCAATTTGCAGATTTTATCTACAGAATCAAAGTAAAATGACTCAGGACATGGCTGGACCCATGCCAGACCGCTGCTACATATACAGAACTTTCTGCAGTCCACGTTTGGAAGCAAGACTGCATAGTCATAGACTTCATCAGAACAAGTACCTATGCAAGTAGATGTGTCGAGATTGTAGGAGTGAAGCTTAGACCAAGAGTTATATATTTCGCGTTTGTCGGTCTTCTCTTCGCTCAGATATTCTATTCTATTCTCATCGACCTCTTTATCTATTATAACAGCATGATTTCGACTGAACGCGCAAACAGCTTCCGTTTTCCGTTTACAAATTTTATGTATTGAATCAAAATAAAGAGGCTCAGGGCACAAGTGTACCCACATCATACCGTTGTTGCATAAGCAAAATTTCTTGCAATCCTTGTTTGGATGTAACACCGCATGTTCGAAGTCATTCTCAGAACAGATACCGATGCAAGTAGACGGATTGAAATTATAGTAGTGTGGTTTAAACCATAAGTAGTTATGTCTTCCATGTTTATTGTTAATCTCCTCGCTTTGAAATTCCGAATCGTCGATCGAATCGTCCTCGTCATCCTCTCTGTTAATCGTGATTACATGATTTCGGTTGTGTGAATCTATTGCACAAACGACGTGTCTTCTGCGTCTGCAGACTCTTTCCATCGAATGAAAGTAAAGTGGCTCAGGGCACAGTTGGACGTATGCCAAACCTCTGCTGCATATGCAGAATTTTCTACAATCCTGGTGCGGAAGTAACACTGCATATCCGAAATCTTCATCAGGACAAATGCCGATGCATGTAGATGGATCAACATTATAGAAACGCCGTCTGTACCAAGGATTTTTATACATGCCACGTTCGTTATAGTTTTCTTCGCTCAGAGATACCATCGAATCGTCTTCGTCGAATATTCTATCGGCCATCAGTGAGCGACGGAACGAGCGTATCGCACAGACGGCATCCTTCTTTCGCTTGCAGACTTTGTCTACAGAATCAAAGTAAAGTGGCTCAGGACATGGCTGGACGTACGCCAAGCCGTTGCTGCACAGACAAAACTTCTTGCAATCTTCGTTTGGAAGTAGCACTGCGTACTCCGGATCTTCCTCAGGACAAGTACCGATACAAGTAGATGGGTCCAAATTGTCATATGTTCCGTCTTCATTTTCACTCAGAGTTTTTATCGAATTGTCATTGTCGTCCATTCTATCAATCGTCACAGCGTTGCCTTGATTATACGAGCGTACTCCACAAACAGCAGCCTTCTTTCCTGTACAGATTTTCAGAACAGAATCGAAATAGAGAGGTTCAGGACATGATTGAACATACGCTATGCCATTGCTGCACATACAGAACTTCTTGCAGTCATCGTTCGGAAGTAACACTGCGTACTCCGGATCCTCCTCAGGACAAGTACCAATACATGTAGATGGATCGAGATTATCATACGTTTCATCTTCATTTTCACTTAGAGTTGTGTCGTTGTCGTCCATTCTATCATTCATCAAAGCGTTATTTTGATTATACGAGCGTACTCCACAAACGGCATTCTTTTTCTGTTTACAGATCTTCTGAACGGAATCGAAATAGAGAGGCTCAGGACACGATTGAACATACGCTATGCCATTGCTGCACATACAGAATTTTTTGCAGTCGTCGTTTGGAAGTAACACTGCGTACTCGGGATCTTCCTCAGGACAGGTACCGATACAGGTAGGTGGATCGAGGTTTTGCATTATTGTCTTATCGATATCTTCAATATCATTCTTTGCGCGTGTCATATTACAGATATAATTCTCTGGAAAATCGCAGACTTTTAGAATAGAATTGAAAACGAGTTCTGGAGTGTCACATTTTTTAAGTGTACTGATTCCATCCTCGCAGACGTAATACAGATTGCAGTCAGTCTCGTGAGGAATTTTAGTGCTCCCTGTCGTTGTGCTGCACTTGGTTGGTGTTCGTATACTGGGTGTATTCGCAGATCCAGCGCCGCAGGCGACGTTCTCCGGATAATCGCAGACTCGAAGTTTCGGATTAAAGTATAAATTTCTAGGACAGGTCTTCAAGATCTTCTTGCCGTTGCTACATTTATAGTAGGACCCGCAGTCGTATTCGTGAGACATTTCGATATTCTCGTCGTAACATTCATCTGAATCAGGAGTGTTAGGGGCCCATGTTGAGATGAGACCCGTCGGTGTGAGATTGCATTTAGCTTTACTCGGCTCGTTGCAAATTTGACGAACGTAATCGTAGTGTAAATCGTCTGAACATTCTCGAAGAATCTGTTTTCCGTCAATACACTCGTAATATTGCGCGCATTCACATTCATGAGGCAACAGTACGGAGCCTACGAGAGGGCAAATTCCTGGAGCGATAGTCGGTGGAGGTGTAGGTAGATCACATTCTTTATGCGGAAAATCGCACATCTGTATACTAACATTGAAATGAAGTCCTTCCATGCAGAATTTTAAAACTTTTTCACCCTTGGAGCATAAATAATACTCGGTGCAGCTAACTTTGTGCCGAAACGCTCTGCCGTCCGGAGAGCATTTATTATCGTAATCACCAGTCCGGATATCGTGAGATGGAAATGACTGGACGCATGTCACTTTGGCGGTCCAATCGCAAACTTCTTTTGCGTCATCATAGTACATGTCGATCGGGCACGTTTGTAATACCTTGTCGCCTTCCACGCACTCGTAATATTTATTACATAAGCATGGATGAGGAAACCGTAAAGTTTTATTTGAACCTTTGAGAGGACACGTTATGCGAGGTTTATCGGTAGCTTCCGTAGGCGTTGACGATACTGTTTTAGGCGTTGTCGAGGCTTTATCAGTATTACATTTGGCCTCAATCGGATCGTTGCAAATTTGCCAAACGCGATCAAAATATAAATTATTTGGACAGGATCGAAGAACTCGCTTTCCATCAACGCATTCGTAATATTGTTTGCAGTCACATTCGTGAGGCAAAAATACTTTTTCTACGGAATCTGAAGAAGGGCAAGAATGATCGATTATCGGCGAAGATCTGTTTAAATCACAACGCTTTTGCGGATAATCGCATGTCTGGATGGTCATGTTGAAATGAAGTCCCTCCAAACAGTATTTCAAAATTTTCTCACCGTTGGAGCACAAATAATAGGCAGTACAGTCGGTCTCGTGCTGAAACGCTCTATCCTCTGGAGCGCATGTAATATTATAGTCATCATTTGGAATGTCGAAGGTTAAAATGTCAAAGGTTGGAATCGGTCGAATACACTTTACTATTGCGGCCCAGTCGCAAACTTCTCTCACGTAATCAAAATGCTTGCCGAATGGACATGTTTCTAATATCTTTTCACCGTTTACGCATTCGTAATATTGATTGCATAGACATGGGTGAGCAATCCGCGCTTTCTCCGTTGATCCCTTTGGAGGACATTTCTCACGAGGTTTGTTGTCTTTTGGTGTTGTTGGGGATTCTGTTGTAGTCGGTGTTGTTGGAGTTTCCGTTGTAGTTGGTGTTGTTGAGGATTCTGTTGTAGTCGGTATTGTTGGGGATTCTGTTGTAGTCGGTGTTGGAATTTCTTTCGTAGGCGTTATTGTTGGAGATTCTGTTGTAGTTGGTATTGTTGGAGTGTTTTTCGTAGACGGTGTTGTTGGTGTACCTCGTGACGGAGTAATTCTGCCACTGCAGTCTACATTTTCCGGGTAATCACATTGACCAATATCTGGATTGAATAAGAAAAAGCTTTCGCATTTTATTGATTCCGTACCTTTTATGCCGTCAACACACCAATAGTAGCGATCACACATAGTTTCGTGAGGAACCTTGTATGGTTTTTTATCTGGTCTTGACACGCAATCCCAAGCAGATGGATCTGTTTTTTTCGTCGGAATTGGAGAAAATAGCGACGAAGTCGTCCGTAAATTCGGTTGTGACGTCGTTGTGATTAATGAAGGGGTAGTTGATGGCACGATATTCGTACTCGACGGAATATTAGTACAGTTTACATTTTCTGGATAATCGCATACACGGAGCACTGGATTAAATAATAAATTACGATCGCATTTTCGAGGGATAGAATCTATCACGCCATTGAAACACGAATAATAATGATCGCACATAGTCTTATGGGGAAGCATGTGTATTCTGTTATCCGATATGCAAGAAGTCAGTGACGGAGTCGTCGGAGAACTCGTTGATGGAGTCGTCGGCGTCGGAGTAGTCGGTGACGGGGTCGTCGGCGTCGGAGTAGTCGGTGACGGAGTCGTCGGTGACGGGGTCGTCGACGTTGAAGTAGTTGGTGACGGAGTCGTCGGTGACGGGGTCGTCGGCGTCGGAGTCGTCGGCGTCGGAGTAGTCGGTGACGGGGTCGTCGGTGACGGGGTTGTTGGCGTTGGAGTAGTCGGTGACGGAGTCGTCGGTGTCGGAGTAATCGGTGATGGGGTCGTCGACGTTGTAGTAGTCGGTGACGGAGTCGTCGGCGTCGGAGTAGTCGGTGACGGAGTCGTCGGTGACGGGGTTGTCGACGTTGGAGTAGTTGGTGACGGAGTCGTCGGTGACGGGGTCGTCGGCGTTGGAGTAGTCGGTGACGGAGTCGTCGGCGTCGGAGTAGTCGGTGACGGAGTCGTCGGCGTCGGAGAACTCGATGGCGTAGTTATTGATGTTGTCGGTGTCGATGATGATACTTGACATCCTGCACTCCACGGCCAATCGCATACTTGAAGTTTTGGATTGAAGTGCAATCTATTGCCATTTTTATCCATTAGAGGACAATCTAGTGGTTCCCCTTTCTCTCCCAGGAGACAGTTGTAGAATTTTGTGCAATCACTTTCATGGGGTATAAAAATTGTCTCATTTCGTGGATTGTCTATGGGACATTTTGTCGGAATATCAGCCACTGGTGATTCGTTGAAGGCAATAACGCCTAATGTGGCCACGTATAAAATGGCCACTAAGTAAATGCCTAAAATTCGAAACAATACATGTAGTAATGTTAATTATATTTATGAAATTAATCTCAGTAATTAAAATTAGAAAATAATATTTTATTTATTAAACATACTTATGTACTTTGCATATAATTTAATTAAAAAACGGAAAATAACTATAATGATAAAAATATTTTAAACTTGTATATGTTAAATTAATATATATCTGCCATTATTATTTTCTTGATGATATGTATGCATACATCATAACCAAACTCAATTACTCGCATTGCACAAAATTCTGACTTATTTCGCTTGCACAAATAATTACCTTGCATATTTGCCACTCAATAATTACATTCAATGTATTTTAATCGTCCTTCTGTTTGCTTTCGCTTTATCACTTCATCGGAGTTCTGTCGGTTGCGAGCACTCACCTTTCATTGTGAAGAATCCATTCGCTAAAATTGGAGACAAGTATCTATTTCTTCACTTATTAAATTGTTAACTGACGAATTTGTCTTTACGAAATGAGTTTTATATAAGCGGACAGTGTGTTATCGCCTAGTACGTGCTTATCATATCTAATATTTGACGCAACCCTTCTCTTAGAGAAGTCACTTAAGCATATCGCGAAACAGGTGCAAAAATATATTCATATGTATTAAATACAGGGTGTCAATTAATAAACGCGGCATTTTTTTGCAAATGTGGATGTGCGTTAAAGGACAGAAATTTTGTCGAAGTACTTGCCTACCACGAAAATGGAGGATGCAATTAATTCGAAATAACCGAAAATATTAAGCAATAAAAATGTTTAATTTACTAATAAAATTTGAGGAAATATTGATATAACAGTAAAGTCAAGTACAGTCTCAAAAGTTTCCGAAATTTGTTTAAAACTCCAATTTTTTATGTAATTTTTATAATTTTATTAATTAATTATTTAAAATAAATTTTATTTAAAGTAATACAATCTTCATGGCAATCGTACAAAATTTCTAAAAATATTTCTGATAAACTTCTTTTAAAATATGGGAAATAATTTCAGACGGAATTTTCTGTATCTCACGGACTATATTTAGCGATACGATAGAATATAAATTATCGTACAATTCACGATCTTGATTTTATTAAGCTTTTTAAGATAGCTTTATTTTAATGAGATTCAGAGTTAATTATAAAGAATTATAAAAATTAAAAAGTTGCAATAAATCGCTTGGTATTTAAAAATGTGAATTGTGAGACACACTGTCATCGAGAGAAAAAAAGAGTTTATTAAAAATTCTGATATAAAATAATGCTTAAATTAATTTTATTTTATTTTTCGAATAATCAGATGTAAGATACAGTTATAAGTACTCTGTTATCTATTGATAACATTTATCAATGGTAATTGGTGTAAATGTGTGATTTTCTATTTTAACGTACAATCATAAATGTATTACATAAATTTTAATTTATTCTACTGGAATCTTTTTTTATTATAATACATTTATTGTCGACAATAAGAATTTAAAGCAGAGATGAATTTTGTTTGAATTATTGATTGTTTCTTCTGTCTCTTCAGCCAAATATACAAATAATCGATAGAATTGGAAAATTGGCAAAACTATGTTTTTGCTTCTTTTTACTTCAAATTCTCGTCTTCCAAATTTTGTATTGTATCCTTTTCTATTGTTGGCATTTGGCTAACCACGGCCAGTTGCAGACTCCCTTCACTATGTCGAAATGCAACCCGGCTGGGCAGTTCATAAGGATCGGAGTGCCGTTGCTACATGCGCAAAATTTGGCGCAGTCACCTTTGTACAACAGATGTATCGTTTTATCCTTAGGATCTGTAGTTGGACATGTGCCGATGCAGGCAGATGTTTCGGATTCCTCCTCCTCGGGTATACTCGGTTGAGTCTCTGGCCAGCTTTCTTTCGGGATGCATCCTGACGGCCAGTCACACTGCTTAGTAGCGTTATTGAAGTGCAAACCTTCAAGACACTCGTGCATCGTGCTCTCGCCATCCTGACAAACATAATATAGGGTACAATCTCTCGGATGAGGCAATTTAACGGTGCCTAAGGACGGACACTCAATCTCTCTCACAGATGCTCCAGCAATGCCAATCGCCAACGCGGCGACGATCACCGCATAGTATCCTGTAAATTATAAATTATATTTTCAATTGTAGGGAAGAGTTTTCTCTAGTAACTTTACCTGCATATTTTTTAGTGATATCACGGAAAGGCTTTAATCCCGTTGCATATAGTAGAGAATAACTTTAAATATACGCTAAATTAAACTCGTAAAAGTACTCAATCATGTTGTAGGAAATTTTGGGCAAATGACAACAACCGTATGGAACATTAAACGAATTAAGTAAAGAAAGAATATACATGAAACGATCATACGAAACATTATTTATATAATAGATATTTTCTCAATTACAATTAAAAACGTAATATTTTTCGTTGAACATTTCGGGCTTTATAGTTTTCTTCAGTAAAATTAGTTAAGGAAAAACGAGAATAAATATAAGGTAAAATTCATAATAACAACAAATAAATAATCAGTACCGATATCGCGATTCTATCATTAATTGTTGAGTTATCAGCTTAAGTCAGCGCTAACCTGGACGTGACTTCTTGATAAATTAATTGATGACAAAATTGCAATATCCATACTTTATTTGTTTATTGCTATTATGAATTTTACAATATTTATATTATATTTATAATATTTATTATCGTTTTTCTTTAACTAATTTCGCTGAAGAAGACTTTATGAAGCCTGAAACGTTCGAAAAATATAATATTTTCAATTGTAATTGAGAAATATTTATTATATGAATCATGTATTGTACGATCGTTTAATGTATGTTCTTTTGTTACTTAATTCACACTTTACTTTAATCACAATGTTCCATAAACTCGTTGTCATTGACCCAAAATTTTCTATAATACGGTTGAGGGAATAATTTTTATCGGCTTTTATGGTCAAGAATGCTATCGTGCGCAAATGCAAGATTTGTTTTCACCAGTACGCATTAAATAAACAGTGACGATAAAACTATCTGTTACAGGAAATTTAATTTACTTAAACTTAATGGTTAAATCTTGTCCACGTTCACAAAGCGGATTTTTACGTCTAATTCACGTAAAAAAAAAGAAAACAAACTTAATTGCGTTATAGATCGCGCACTTTAATATCTAACGAGTAATTTGATACCAAACTTGCGCACACTAGCGTTAAGAAACTAAATTGTTATTTATCACGTTACCTATCCTAATGTTTGTCAAAGATTGTATAGAGTCTTTATTTAAAAATTCACCTCTCATTGCGATCATTAATTTGGTATATCAAAACGTATCGCACATTCGACAGTTAAAAATACAATAACTGGCGATTGCAACAGACGTATCGATTTTTATATCAATCATCTTATCGTTTGATAATAATCTTGAGAGAAGTATTATATCCCGAAAGTATATCTAGATGCGCGATCGAAATGGATTGTCCTAAGGTTTATGTTGATTAAAAAATTAAATAATATCGATAACAACTGATTAAATCGTTCAACATCAATGATATTCCTAGAATCGATTAGCAAAATTGTATAAATAACCAAGGAATGCTTTCAGACAGTGCAATAGAATATTATATGTGCAATACATACATTTCCATGCATTTACATCGCGTTATCATTCGGAGCTTTGAAATGTTTTTAGATAATATTCAGGATGACAATCATATTTCTTATTGTTGACATGTAAAATCTCAACGACATCGATAAAAATAAAAAAATGAAGTCACAAATTTAGCGATTTAATTGAACTTTTTGGGAAAGGATCTGTGGAGCAAATATATTCGTGCCTGTGAGATTGCGAAAACTATTCAGTCTTGAAAGACAGCTTACGTTAAACTGTGTTTTATATACGAATAATAATAATACGAGTTTTTGCAACGAGAACAGAAAAAAGTAATCAATATTAAAGCATATATAAAATAATTAAACTAATAATAGTTTAAATGAATTAAATTTAGTTAAATTAAATTAATTAAATTAAGTTTAAACTATTAATTAAAATAATATTATGCAATAAAATTACAATTTTATCTAGAACGGGAACAATCCTTGATACAATATTTTACTTGATCTACATTTGATAAAATATTTTATCTTTGATTTCTGGATAGATAATAAAACAACATTTCACGTACATACAAACATATCATATTTGCTGTATATCTGCTTTAAACCAAGCAAAAGTAATTCTTGTTTGTTTTTAATTTGATCACGACGGTCTATGTGTTCTTGAATACTAAATTAATTTCAAAAAATAAATAAACTCGTATAAGTGAAAAAAATTAACTCGTAGAAACGATAAACGATGAAAATAATGTCATGAGCATTTGGCTTTGTAGAACCAAAGTGAATGCGAAGCATATTTTTAAAAGATGTTTAATTAAACGAATACTTCGATATTTCGCTCCGATTTTGCTCCGTTTTATCAATGCCGACAATTGAAATAAATATCGAGCGATGTCACGTACGTCACCGATAACGACAAGGTTGCAGCGGACTACGACTGAATTTTTGTGAACGCGCAAGGTTCACCGATTAGAAGATTCAAAAGCGTTCTAAATCATCACTACAGATCGCGTCATAAATCTTTATTACATATTAAAGATTATTACGAGACGATAGGATACGAAGTGATGCTATAAATCTCTCTCGGAGCAGGTTACAACAGATCGTAGTTTACGCGTTAAACGCAATCGCGCGTGAATCACAGTAAACTTCCACAAAATATAAATAAAGATTGCGTATCCAATCTGTTATAGTTTGCATGCATGCAATCTTTTTTCTTTACAAATACATCCGTTATTTTTATTGGCTCTCCGCGTATAAATTTTCAGCGTATACGTCGCAACAACGATCATCGACAGGTACTTCATTGAACGTATATACAATGTATGGTATAAAAAAATCATACATTTTCCATGTGTTATGTTAAAATAAATTGATGCCCTGACGAAATAATATACGAAATAAACTTGTTTTAGACTTGTCGCAAATATCATATTTCTTTTTTATCGCCCTGAATCTAACGCTTCGATAATGTCGCGTTGACCTATTGAATTTTACAAGCGAAAAATATATCGATACTACCGATATCACGGCTTATCGATAATATTGTCGCTTTGCTTACAACTCGGCCTAATTTGTGTAATCGTACAATAAAATATATAATTGACGACAGACAGAAAAAGTAATAATACATATCTTTTAATTATTACTTAACTAGCGTTTTTTATTCATTAGCAAAATTACTATTGTAATACTTTTCTCAAGAAGAATTCTCGGAAATTGTTTTAAAAATACGTTCATAAATATTTCGCTATAACGTTCTTTTAATAGCAGTTTGAAGCTATATTTACTAATCATTTTGAACAGAATAATAAAATGTTCTCTTCAAACGCAATGTAGCTATATATTATAACGTGTGATTAAATTTTTTATTTCTATTCTATAGAATTGAGTAAATATGATAGCATATTTTATTTATATAATAAACATTTTTATTAATCGTATGAAGTATTAATTATATTTTGTTAATCTAAAAAAGCGTGCTTTAGATATTTTTCGTGATAAAGTACGTTTTATGGTAAAGTACGTTTTATTATCGGTGTTATATGCAATTAATCGACGACGTGAAATGCCAATCCGATTGATCATCATCGATTACATATTACGCAATTCCCTCCGTTGTGCCATCAATGATATCATCATCGTTAAATACAGAATAAGTCATATATTTTTTCTATCATTCGACCGCTTTAATTTTACGTTCGATCTGTTTACGTTTTATTACGCGAGGAAGGCGCCCAGACAATAATCAGCTTCATTATCGCGCAACGCCCGCTCGGATCATTGAGACCTCGCGTGTCGCCATCGTGTGCCCTTCTCCCCCGGCCCGTCGTTCGTAAATTAAATATTTCGGTCGAGTCATAATTGAATCCAGGTCAACGAGGCTATTTCCCGACCGCGTTCTCTCTCTACCCAAAGTGCGAATCAAAGCGAACCTAGCAACACGCGCCGATCTTAACTTCTTGCGCGCGCGCTTATTTGGGACGAGAGTGCGCTTGGTAACCGCTTTGAAATCCTACGTCGGTAACGGCGCTGCCTGTAGCTAGACGAGATCACATGTGCACCACGTGTGCGCGCGCGCACTCTAGTGTTTCCCTCGTATTCGGAGCAATCGGAGCACGAGCGAGAGTCGCGCCTCTCTCACGCCGTTGCACACAAAGTGCACGTCGTCGTCGTCGTCGTCGTCGTCGTCGTCGCCGCCGTCGCGGTCGCCGTCGTCGTCCTACTCCCTCAAAAATAACGATCCAATGGGAAGCGTGTAAACAATGGCTGCGGACCCGTCGGTTGGCTGTGCTGTCGTCAAGTCAGCCGCTGCCGGCGAATCGGCGCGCCGCCGTCGACGGCGCCGACGGAAAGTGGCGGCGCACCGTTCAGTACCCCTCCGTCCCGCTTCGCGGCTGCACGTCGAGCATTCAGTAGACTCGGCCATTTCTCTCGCGAAGCGTAGCGACTCGCTCAGCCGCGCGACTGTTTTTTTTTTTCGCGACTGCACCGTGCGGGTACTCCCGGAAGTTTTGCAAAATAACGCGACGCAAAAGGATGATACACTCCGGGCGCACCAGGCTCGAGGTAAGTCAACGCGGATCCACGTCGCCTCGCGGCCGTAAACGCGGCCGCGGAAACGCGCGTCGAAGTGCTGCTACACAGTCCGGGGGGGTCGTGCGTGTTCAATGTTGTCATTGCCGAGGCGAACAGCTGATTCGCTCCCCTGGCCTCTGCGAAGCGCGGCGGCCACCACGGGCATCCTCGTCGTCACCGTTTCGCGTCCGCGTCGTGACCAAGACAACGATTACGACCTACGACAAGGACGACGACAGTGAAGGCGTCATGCGCCAAGGCATTCTCTCGTTATTGTGGCTGGCTGGCTGGCTGGATGGCTGGCTGACTGGCTGGATGGCTGGATGGCTGGCTGGCTGGCAACACGCTGTCATTCTCGGACCTTTTTCATACGTGCTACTACGTATACATTCTCATCGACCAACCGAAGCAACCGTGCAAAGCGGGCCTAGCTAGCTGGCTAGCTTAGTCAGCCAGCCAGCCAGTCAACCAGCCAGCTCCGTTCTTTGTCCTGTCTTTCCTCTTTCCTTCCGTCCTTCCTTTCTTTCTTTCTTTCTGTCTGTCTGTCTTCCTTCACTTCTCTTTTTCGCACTCCGCCTCTCTTTCTTGCTCGCTCTCTTTCCCTCTCCCTCTCTCTCTCTTTCTCTCTCGCTCTCGCGGTCGCCAGCGGTGGCTACGTCGCCAGCGGTGCGTTCTCGTTGTTAAATGCACGCCTCCCCCTCCCCCGCGCCCTGGCTACTATCCTCTTCTTTGTTCTTCGCTCCGGCAGCGTCCGAGCAACGACGACGACGACGACGACGACGACAACGCGCAAAAATCTCTCCGCGCTCTCTGGCGCACAGAAGCGAACCCCGACGACGACGATGACGAAGATGACGACAACGACGTTGACGACGACGACATTCGAGCGCGCCAACGGAATGTCAATGAGCTCGTTGTTGCTCGCGACGCTGCAAATCCCATCGGAGGGACGGTGCTCCGGTTACTCCGATTGCTCCGGTTGCTCCGCTTCGCGCGCACGTTCCTTGGACGTCGTTCCCTCGGCGTCGCGACGACGTTGTCGACGAGACGACATCGTCGCGACGTGAAGGCGCGGAGACGCGCGCGCGTATCGCGAACGCGTAAACAAGCGGACGGGCGCGCGCGTGGCCGTGCTTTCGACGAGAACGTGTGCCTGCGAGCGTGATAAGTAAGAAGCTGTGAATGAACCGCGTTTCCGTAGCATTACACTTCGTTGCCTTTCAAGACAGAGGATCGAATAATTCCTGGATGTGCACTTTGTGTGTGTGTGTGTGTGTGTGTGTGTGTGTGTGTGTGTGTGTTTGTTTGGAGAGTATATATATTTTTTTAATTCGTTTTAATATTTTTTTTGTTGAATATTCGAAATCACGCGACGCTCTTACGATTAAAAATTGCGCCTGGTGTTTTAATAACACCGGGAATAGCATAATGGATCGTGTTTTTTTTTTTATTGCGAATTGCTTTCCTATCTTGCTGTTTGGATTAGATAATTCGGACACGTTGATAACGCGTTACTGGGGACTTTATTGGATTGGATATTCGAATAGCGCAAATATTGGACGCATAATTTATCTCATCTATCTTTTTTCGTTGGTATATGCCCGATTAATTTCTCAAGTAGTAAAAGGTGCAACAGAGTTATAGTCTAGGAATAATTTACGTCCTTAACTGAATATCCGTTTCTTTTAAAAGAACAATAATGGTAACTGAAATTGGTTACGTCTATGTGCGTATGCGTGTGTGTACGATTAACACGTTCACCACTCCGTATCGTAACTGTTATAAAAAGAAATCTCTGCGTCGTATCGTACGCGCTAATACAATAGACGTATTTTTTTTTTTTGCCGGAGAAGCACCTCTGACAAATCCTCCTTTATTGTCTCGCCTTCTATTTACCAGCCTGCGACTAAAGACGCGCGTCGCGCGAGCGCGACGCTTCGATACCACGCCGCCGCGCCGTGTGTTATTGCAGTCTCGACAAATATAATCCGTTCCTGTGCGAACTGCTATTTTTATTACTTCATTCATGAGTTGTAAATTGCGGAAAGTTATTGGCATGCACACGGGGGTGGAGGGGAGGAGGAGTGGGGGCCTGCCGCGGGCACATGTCGAACGGTTACGAACTGTCGCCGCGCGCGCACTTTAACGCGCGTAAGAGCGTATAAATAATTAAAATATGAAAATGTTTGGCGCGGAGGATTTGCATCCTGCGTCTTTGGGATCGCATGTCTAGCGGCGTATATAGCGTGCGTTAGATCACAAGATTAGATTTTTCGACTAAACTTTAATCGGATGATAATCGCGATTTTTTTTCCCGTGAATTGTGTGTGATTTATCATGTCTCCTTCTCATCCCCCTTCTCGCCTTCTTTTCTTTCGCAACCCTGCTTTTCTTCGTCAGTGTCGGTTCCCTTCACGTTTTCAACGCTTGACATGATTCTTTTTAACTGCATTCTGCCATGTTTGTTTTTTGTACACAAAACAAAAACCTGTACGTGTTCAGGCTTTGTGAGAGAAAGAGGAAAGGATCAAATTTGCAGGAAATTGTACAGAGTCCGGCTAAAAGGAACAGATCCGTACAGGGTGCCCTAGAATTGGCGGAAAGTGGACATACGTAACATTATTCCTTGTGAGTCTCAGAGAGAATTTTCGCCGAGCGAAAATATCATGGGAAATTATATTTCACGACTCGTTCACCTAGATATCGCCATCTCACTGATATTAAATCTCTAAATTAAAATACCTCGTTGAATCGAAAAGTTCCAAAATGCGTCACAAATATATCTTTGTCTCTGCAGATTAATTCGCGAAAATTCGTCTTCAACTTTAGAAACGGTTAAGGCTGCATTTCACTTGGCGCTCGCAACATTCGTTCTTGGAATCATTTTATCTTTGTTGTTCAGATGTTAAACAAGGGACAATTAAATGATGCTCGCGAGATCGCCATAGATCGTCTCGGCATTGAATCGCGAATCTTAAACCGCGAAACTCGAGTCGCGCTACGTCCGTCTTCCGCTTTTTTTCCTCGATTATATTTGCGGATACTCGGCATTTGGACGCGCGATTCGTTCGCCGAAGATGCATCCGAACGCCCGAAACGCAATCGTTCGCAATTCTCCGCAATCTAATTTCCTAGCAACACACGCGCTCGCGGTTCCGCGAAGAGGAGGAGGAGGATGCGCGCGCGCGCGGACGCGGGCGCATCGACGCGTGTCGCCCGTCACGAACGATCCTCTCTCGGCCGTCGACACGCCGCCGGTGCGACCTGAGATTTCGCGGTGCCGAGACCTCGCAATCTCTTATTTAATTTCAGAGAATTGAACAAATACAATATATCGGCGATGAATCGTATTTCATTACCAGCAGTCCCGGTATTAACGCACTTCGACTGTGCTCCAGCTCTCTCTCTCTCTCTCTTTCTGTTCACATAAAAATGACACATTAGTTACTATGTCACCTTTCCTCGAAATATCTCGAGTATTGTCCTGCCGAGCGCTTCTAACGTGAAAATTTCTCAATCTTCTCGCGTACAAATCACTGTTGACTATTGTAGACTGCTGTAGAATCGGGACAGGTGCCAATTTTCTCAGGAATATCTCTAGAAGATATTCGCAACGTTTTTATCGCATGGCTTATTATTATTAGCCAATATTCTATAGATACGTTTGAGTACTTTCTAATATAAACTTGCCTATGGCACGCTTGCCTCGTCGGCGCGCTTCCTCGTGACGGGCGATGCGATTTTTCGCGAGGGCAAGAAGCCGTAACGGCATATCAACGATGCAACGCGATGGAGGTCGCGCGCGAGTGGGCTGTACATACATTTCGGATCTATTACACAATTTTGTTCTATTACACTATCCGACAAATTTAAACGGCTTTTTTTTAGACCACGAACCAGAGAGACTATATAAAGATGATTCTTATATATAAATTTTTTGTCGCTGAAAACGAATCCGTTAATAAAATTGCTCTGTCAAGGTCACATTTTTTAGTTGATTTAGTTCAAAAGTACCCAGAAATTCTATTCTCGGCACTTTGAAGTTAATTTTCTCTGCAATTTTGCAAACAGATTCGTCTTCTATGCCAAAAGATTTATAAAGTCACCTACCATAAAGTGTTGGCTGCTTTGTGCAAAAAGTTACAGTTATAGTTATAAGAAAGGAGCTTAAATCCGTAGATAAACATAATCTTTTGAGGACAATAATGACCCTCTTATGTAATTTGAATAATCATCTGCACATAACGATAGCCGATTATGAATCCGAGGTCAAAATTGTCAAATATAATCTGGTTTGTAGTCTAAAATCCGTGTCGGACAGTGTTATCAACTCGAGAACAGTAAATATTAGCCTGTTTTTTCTTCGATTGTCTCCATTGCCGATCATAATTGATTCGGCAGGATTGATTTGTGTAGAATTTTTATTTAATTCTATATAATATTTCGCAACATAAAGAATGCGTGAATATGTATCTATGTGTATGTATGTGTATATGTGTGTGTGTGTGTGTATGTGTGTGTGTGTGTGTGCGTGTGTGTAATCTTTATAAATATGCAAATTAGAAATGGCGTAATAGTTATTTTTAATGTGAATATAATGAAATATTTGATGTAAGTGTACTCTTTTTATGTAGATAATTTATGAACGTGATTCTTCATGTAATTTATTTTCGTGTAACTGATATCGTATAAATAAGCTGAAAGATAAATAGAGAGGGGGAGAGGAGGGAGAGAGAGAGACAGAAAGAGATGTTTGGAATTATTAATGCTTATGTGATATCAATAATGATATGTATATACATATATGTATGCATGTATATGTATGCACGAAGTAGAAACATAACTAATATAATATGTACATATTTAAATCAAATTAAATGAAATCGAAGGTTTTTCCACAACAGTGACCCGTGAAATCGATTTCCACTTACAAATACAATAGTGAGATCTTAAATTTGTCCGAGGCATTCCGAACAAAGACAACTATTTCA